TAAAACCTTCAAAAGAGGGTATATTCCCATAGGAGATGTTCTGGATAAGGGCGCTTTTTTTTTTTTTTTTTTTCCTTTTGCTCCTTGAACCTGTTTACACATTTGGAAATTAAACCTTGTGTATATTAGTCAGAAAACTAGCAATTAGGATTGAAAGAAGGTCTGCTGTAGAGCTCAAAAGACCTGAATAGAAAATGTTGCTGCTTCAGATTCTTGCTAAAGCTGCTCATAGTAAATAATGACAGTGGTAACTTTTCACCAACCCRGATGAGCTCTGCATGATTCAAAAACAACAGCCGCCAAGAAAAAAAGGGAGTGAGGAAGAAGGAGAAGTGGCAATCCAGGCTTTGGGATACTCATACTGTGTGATCATCATGGAGAGGTGGGGCAAAGGAAGACCAATACATCCACAGAACCAGCTGTCAGGAAGAGATTTTCCAATGAAGAAATCTACTCTAAAATCTAATTAACAACTAATGGGGTTCCTGTATCTTCCTCCAGTGCACCACTTGAACCTACAAATAACAGAATCTGTGYGATTTCCCTCCTACACACTGTTCCCTCCAACTCACCAATAAAACCTTAGGAATAAAATAAACTTCAATGTGTGCATATTCTAATTATAAACAAGCAGAAGTAGAGCTTACATCTAAGCTGGCTGAGATCCAGGGATACCAGTAGAGGGATAAAGAGAGTGGAAGTGGGCTTCATGCCAGAAGAAAGAAAGATTTCTGACAAGTTTGAAGGGAAGAGTAATGGCAAAAAAAATGCACATCCTAAAGTGCCTTTGAGTGTGGATGAAGGATAATTGTGTGGCTAAGCCCTAAGATTAGAAAGTAGACTGAACTAAGGAGTCCCAAGTCTTCTGATACAGTTTTCTGGGCTTGACCTAAGTAGAACATACTCCACCAGTGCAGGTAGACAGAGAAAGAGTGTTGAGGATGGGATTGCCAGATGTGCTGCTCCCCAAGAACTGRTAGCGAGGGTCCTTTTCCATAGACGTTCCACTTGGAGCTGCACCCAAGCTGAGCAAATGCCTAGCCAAGAATTTTGCTGTGTCCCTACTGGTTTTGTTAATAAATACTGGAGCAGAAAAGAATATGTAACATGGAGGTGCATTACTCACTTCTTATAAGACTCTCTTTTAAGCTTTTTACCAGTTATTAATATTATTATTGTTATTTTAGGTAACTATTATAATATCCAAGCATCTTGTAAAAATATCATTGGGGACTTGCCCTTCCAACTCATTCATCTTAATTTCTAGGATGGAGACAAACTTCTTATTTATGTTTCAAAGATGACATGACATCAAAGAGCTTGAATATTAAATGCCTTAATTACAGATAATAGGCTGATAAAAAGAAATCACCCCTGGAGATTTATTAAATAGGAATTACAACTGCATTCAGGGAGATTAAGGACTACAACAACCAGCCTAACCTCATATATCAAAAGATTATTTTTGGAAAAGGAGAATAACATTTTTCTCACTTATATAATTGCAATGTACAGCTTCAAATTACTAGCTTCAGAACCAATTGCCTCTCCACCACTCTGAAATTACCAATCACTCTGACCATTTTTACACTGTTTTTGGCTCAGCTTGCCAGGCTCTGAGAGCATTCATGAGTTTTCCTCTCAGAGGAGAAGACATATATCTTAAGTAGAGGACAGCAGGCAGCATCCAGAGGTATAAAAGTCTCTTCCAAAGTTTTCCTTTTGCAGGTGAAGGAGCAGGATTTATCAACCCTCCTTTCACCCTGGCTTAGTGTAGCATTATCAGCCTCCATTTTTACAGGCTTGTAGCTAGTGAAATTGGTGGGTGGCTTTGGAGAAAAGCTGGTGCCAAATCCAGAGATAAACACTGTTTTTCACCAGGAGGTACACAAGAAGCAAACTTTTCACAAAACCTCAAAGATTTTTCTTGGTTTTGTGGGAGTCACTAGGGAAGCTGTGGAAATGTTCCTCATGCATGACATGACTTCCTGCCAGGAGAGGACTGAGATGATCACATTTGTGGAAGGAGATTGCTTTTTAATCCCAGCTCACATGCACCCAATGTTTTAACATAAACCAACAGCCTCTGCTGACATTCATCTGGACTCCTAATTTGGGGGTATAGCTTGTCCACTACTGATCAGGATATGAAACTTAAATAAGTCTTCTTAGAGCAGCAATTTTTGCATAAGAGACCTTGATTACATGCAAACTACTCTTCTATATCAACTATGCTCTACACAAGGTCCTATAGTAATTTCCAAACATTCAGAATCCAGAGGTCTTCCAAAAATCCTACACAGAACATGGCAGTCAAATCATGACTCCCTGTTCATGTCCAGAAGTAAGGCACAACCTTCCCCATTTTAAGCCAAGAACATATAAGCAGAAAGAGACTTCACAAGYTCCATCTTAAAAATTGTTCATGCAGTCTCAGATGTGCAAGGGGATTTGCAAGCAAACATCCCATAGCATACGCACAACCCAGTGCTGCACAAGGAACCTACCAACACAAATGTGCACAACACCTTCTAACAACTTAAGTTTGAGTCATATATTGAAGATCACAGAGAAAAGAGGCAGGAGGGCTCAGACCAACCAAATAAATCTAGTCTTCCTTTCACACTCTAATGATTAGGTTTTCACTTTTGCATCTTGTGCTCAGTGGACGGTGTTCTGGAACTGAGAAAACACTGATTTAAAGCACAGGACAGATCACAGGGACAGCAATAGACACCTTGAACAGCTGGAGTGCCATTGCCACTCACAGGCTTGGAAATCTTCATTTCGTTCTCACTACTTTGGGCTGAAGCTTCACTGACCTTTACACTGACATTCAAGTGTGAAAATTCACTGCCCTCTTAGCATTGATCCAAAAGAAAAACTCTGGGAGTTTTATGCAGTTCTTGTTACTTTGCTCTGCACTTCACACAGTAGCAGAAACATTTCAGCAATGAACCTGAACATAATGTTTAGTTTTAACTTGCTGGTGACTAATTTTAACCATATATCATGATAAGGCTTACTTTCAGCATGGAACAGCCTATATTTATGAACTCAGGCAATTGCTATCCATTTGTTCTGTTTTCAGAGTAATTATGAAAAGAAGTCACCTTTCATTGCTTTTTATTTATTTATTTTAAATCCCAAAATAATTAGAAGAAGAGTCTGTCAGCACTGCTGAATTCCAAATTCAGTTTGGGGTTTACAGGATGAATAAGATATGCAGAGAACAATAGTTGGAGGTGACATCTACAACCATGCTTTCCTCCTGGAGGAAATCTAGTTTCTGGTATACTCCGTGCCTCCCTATACAGCAGCATATTTGCATTTGGATAGTCTCAGAACAGCGCACTGCCCTTTAAATCTACTTGGACAAAGCCATGAGAATGCTCCAAGAGCTTCCAAACAATTAATCCAAGTAATCCCAGCTGGAGCAGCAGCCATCCAGCTCCTGCTTACCATAACCTCTTGCTGTGTGCTAAGCCAAAGCCTCCCTTCTCCTTACACCCCCTTAGCACGGTCAAGGAGGAAAYCAGGATGAGCACCACGGGCCCTCCAGAGGCCAGAGTGCCTAAGCTGATCCTATCTCAAGCCCCAGCTGACACCAGGACCACTGTGCAGCCAGTAGTGACATCTTCCAGGTACAGACAGCCCSACTTCCCAGCTCACTCATCCCATTAAAACTCATGGCACGCTTTGCTAAAGTAAAYGGCGATAGCCTGAGTAATCCTGTTCCAATTGCAATTTGCATAATTGCCTTTTGCTTTCATATCTCCTGCAGTTCCTTTCAGGTAAAGTCTCCTTGTCTTCTTATCCAAGGTAGCTGCTTAATGCTAGTGTTTGCTTTTAAACGTCAAACATGCTCTTCCCCTCAGCTACCAGCATTACCAAGAGTGGGTGCACACGTCCCAATACACTCTAGAAAATTAACATATTTTGGAAAGGAAGCACTACAAACGTGATACCAACTTGCACAGTAATAAATCAGGCACAAGATCTATCCCACATATCCCACATGCCTAAGGATAGCTCATGGTGCAATCCAGATGTACGATTTTCAGCCCTGTTCCTGAAGGAGCTTTAGTTTTGCTATCTGTGAGATTGGTAACTGTGGGACCCTGGATTTCTCTGTAGATTGTATACCTGCCTGGTGTAAACGCCTGGGTAAACACAGCAGCCTATATGGCCACCAGTGGCCMCTGAGCTGGGCAGGGATGTCTGCCGCAGGTGAGGTCACACTCCTCTAGTCCTGCATGTCCTAATAGACCCTGCTGCAAGGTGGGCAAGACAGGAGCCGAGGGTAGAGGTGTGAAGTACTGGAGAAGGTGAAAGGGTCCTGTTGCTTCAGAGGACTCATGATTTGGTTCCCCCCATCTCTTATGGGAACAGGGAAAATGAGAGACTCGTTTTAGGTCAATTCTCATCACTCTTGCCCAGTCCAGGAACCTCCCTGAAMCCTGCAGGCTTCCTGATGATGGAGGTGTAATCTTAGACTTCCTGTCCCCTAAACTAGTTATGAGATAGATCTTCTTAAGCAAAAGCCAAAGGCACAACTGCAGCAGAGCCTGGAGTAAACTGAGCAGCACAACTCACTGACGTGGGGAATGTCTCCCCACCACGCTGGCATTTGCAGAGCAGGCATGCCTTAAGAAAAGTGAGACCTAAAAGTCGGGTGCCCTTGCTGCAACAAATGATTTTAAGCATTTCCCAGTTGTCTGGCACCGGCTTTGAGCTTGGCACTTGATAGGCTTGCAACAAGGCAAGAGTTTTGCTTTGAAAAGCTAACAATCAAATTTGTAMCGAACACAGGACGAGTAAAGGCATGTTTGGTGCGTTGGTCTGGGAAAGCTCACAGAAGACAAACATATAAATATAAAGGACTTTCAAATAATGCCACTTTTATGCAGGGAAAAAAAAATGCCTGTGAGGATAAACAAACAGCTGTGTGCAGGTTTTATTCTCACCTGGCAATTGCCAAAGCTCCAGTTCTCACCTACCTTGCACTCCACCTGGTTGTGCTGTTGACCATGAAGCTTGCGAGGTTACCTGGAAAACAGGAAATAGCTGGTGACTAATCCCATCTCCATGTACTGTGAGTCACAGAGCTTGGGGACAGAGGAAAAAAAAGGGAGGGGAGGAAAGGGAAAAAAGAAAAAGAAAAAAAAAAAAAAGAAAAAAAGATAGTTTCCTCAGTTTCCTGGGTGAGCAAAAGGAAAGGAAGGAAATTAATTTTCCCTTCAGAGCCCAGTGCAAAGTTGCTGAATGTCAGACAGGTGTCACAGGGCTGGCACAATAAGCTGCAGATCTAACTTAGAACAGTATGGTAATCTTTTGCTTCTGATTCAGCTAATTTGACTAATTCTGAGGTAAAGAACACCTCAGCCTGCTGATTTCATCCTTCTTCAGAACACATTTCTTAAGAAGGAGAGTAAGTGCCAGCCTTTATTTACCTAAGATCACTTCATGAAGAAAAAAAAATATATTAAAAAAAAAAGTGCGTAGGGGGCAAGGAAGAGAAATGCATTTGCTTTCAAGTCTTGTCCACCAAAGCTTTAGTTCAGACTTTACATCTGCCTCCTCTGTTCATGCAATTCACTGCTAAAATGAATCTCAAGATACAATTCAAGGCAGTATTACAGTTTAGTCCTGTATATAGTTATAGACCTGGAAGGACAGTGTAGATGCAACATTCTGGGCTTACCTATGGCAGAACTCTACTTTGCCCTGTATCAGCCCTGCTTCTAATCTGCTGCTCTTCATTAGCAAAATCCTCTCCAAAACATGCTTTTCAACCTTGCTGCTAATCTTTACACTGTATCTTTCAAGCAAGACTGCAAAGAAGGAGGATAAGGGGTAAAAAAAAATAAAATAAAAAGCTGCTTTTAACCAGAGTTCATTTCAACTACACTTCAGCAATGCTTCTGTGCTGGTGAAAGCTCCTAGCTGACAGGCTGCTAAACCCTGCAGCCACAGGAGACAAGAAGATTTCTTCCCAGCTTGCTCAGCTTCCTTTTATAGCTCTGCCAAGGCTGTGGTGTGACTTAAATTAAGTCAATTAACCTCTCTGWGCAGCAGCTGTACAAAGCATACATTTAGTGGGGAAGGGGAGTAGAAGACTCTTTCAGCAGCTTCTTGAAGTGTTTTAAGATACTGAAAGAGAGGCAGTAGCAAAAGGAAAAGGCACATTTTTTTCAGATCTTACAAGCAAAAAGTTGTTGTATAGGCTGTGAATAAACATTTGGTGTTTGAACTGATGTGATGCATGTATGTTTTGCAAGACTTGTGCAAAGGGAAGGAAGAAGSGAAGAAAGAAGGAAACCCTAAGAGAGACGGGCCCCTGAAAACCCTGTGTAGCTTTGGTAGTGCCATTAAAGTCCAGTTGCCTGATTTCAAGCCAGCTCCAATGTGAAATGGATGCCTCTCAGAGCAAGAAAAGCACCTGTCTTACACAGGAACTTGGGATCTGGAAGAGTTAACTACTCTTGGGCTTGCAGGAACTAGGTGCTTGGGTTTTAATTGACTCCAATTTGTCCATGGTTCATAGTCTCCGAGCTGCACTTCAAATTACATTTGACAGAGGTTTTACCTGCTGGGTAATTTTGGCAGTGATAAGGTTATTGGTGCCTCTGTATCCTGTACATTGCCAGTGCAAACAGCTATACTTCATACGTTAACCTCAGAACAGCTGTTCCTTGCTCTACCTAAGTAGAGTTTGAGGCCACCAGTCACTAAGGAGATTGGAAATCCTAATCACTGTAAGAGTGAAGATCAAACTCACCTGGGATGATCACTGTTCTGTGTGTGGGCTCCAGAATCAATATTAAGATGTAGTTCCAGTCAGTGGCAAACATTTTCATATAGCTGAAAAAGCTGATATATAGCTGATATTTTTATCCCTGAAAAAAGCTCAGCTGGTATATTTACTGATAGAAGGAACATCAGGAGAATGCACTGAGCTATCCCTAGCTCCAACTTCAACCAGGAAAAGACTGCAATGCTAGGAAGAGCAGATGAATGTATGATTCCAGAAGAGCTAGTAAAAGGATAATTCTTATTCTCGGGTGATTCTTGGAGAACTGCTACTACACCTGTCTTCATTTCTCATTTGCTTAGTGAACTCCCCATAGAAATTCAATGCCATGATCTCACATGAGCTCACTTCTTGCATCCTATAGAAAGGATGCAAGGAAAGACTAGGAAAGACTATAAGTAGCCTACAGCTTGCATTCTCAGTGCCCAAAGAGTGACTCATTCATACATAGAAAAACGCATTTATCTGGATGCTTATGGAACCACACTACACAATAAAAATAGACATGAGGCTTGATTCTGAACCCAGTTATCCCGCCATAAGTAATCATATGCTCGCTGAAAWAAATTAAGTTAAATACATGAAAATGAGGCCTAAAATCTGGAATCTGAGCTACTTAGTCCTAAACCACTGTAAGGCTTGGTTTTTAATACAAAAGTTTTTCCAACTCCAGAAAATTATGGGTTATGCAATTAGCATTACCGATTTCAGTGACTGGAGAAGAAAGTTACTTTTCCAGCTGAATGGGAATGATGGGAAGCCTGAGATAACCTGGGAAAAGAAGAGGAGGATCTAAGAGAAAGAAGGGAAAAGACAGTAGGGAACGGATTGGTGRTTAGACACTAAGGAGCCAGTAGCAAAGACATAAAGAGCCATAAACACCAACAACCATTCTTGTGCTAGGAGATCACTTAGGAACCTAAGGAAATAAAGGAGGAGGAAGGCAGGAGATGCGCAGTCTAGAATTGGCATTCAGGAAGTGGAGAAAAAGTGTAAAGTTTTAATGGAAAGCAAAAATACTCCTTGGATGTAGGCAGCTGTTTTCCCTAGAGAAACTGCCAGACTCTTGGACAGAAAGAGAAGAATAAAGCATAAAGAATAAGCATAAAGACATTTGAAAATCACAAAAAAAAACCCCAAACTCCCTGTACTGAAGGAAGAGGAAGAAGCCCAGGAGACAAAGGAGAAGTGTTTAGTAATGATGAATGCAAACAAGCATACACAGGGGATACTTTAAAGTCAAATAGAAAATATTCAACATGCCTTTCTATTGCAATCCCACATATTCCTGTAGAAATCCCACATATTCCTGGTTACCACCAAAAAGTGCCAGCTGCAGTTTTAAAAAGCACACTCTCCATATTGCTCAGGGTGGGACGTGCTTCCTATTTGCCTAATGTTTAGCTTGCTRGCCAAAGAACGGGAAAAGCAGAATTGCCTTTTGGCCCAGTTTTCCTCGAAGCCTGGGAGCTGAATTCCACTTCTGACTTTGAAACATTGAGACTTGCTGTTGGACTACAGTCAAGTCACATCCCTCACTTCTCTATGTTTCAAGAAGCTAGGTTTCAAGAAAAAAAACAAATACAGAAACTGCCCATAAAGGCAGACTCTGGATGCAAGATGGGCTGCTATGGATTAACAGACTGAAAGTGTGAAAGTCTGTGGAGTGAAATTCAAAAAGAGAGACACTCAGTGCAATGCCTCTGGTCAGCTCCAGAACGTGTCCCTTTCCTGTACTCTCAAAAATATTGCCCCGTCTTGTGAGAGGATTGGTTAAGAAAGAGATGGTGGAAATGGGRAAGATACATGAATGCCTCTAACTGCCAGCCCGGAACTGGCTAATTAGCTAAATGGGTCTAGTGTCTGGTTGAAAGCTGGGTAGATCTTCTCCCACCTTGTAAATTCTTTGCATAATAGAGGAAATAAAATCCATTCTTTTTGTGAACTTTTAATTAAATAATGTAAATGGGATTCCAGTAGGCTCATTTTGCCCTGTTGGAGCGTGGCAATGATGGTTAGTACAGCTGGCCTGATGTTRACTTGCCAAGTGACTTAGAGCAAGACATCTGCTTCAGTTTCTCCAGCTGTAAAGCAGGAWCAATGATATTTTGTCTTTACCTTGCTTGTAATGAACCATGTAAGACTTCACTAATTGGTGCTTGCAATACTACCTGAGTGCCTTGGATGAGAGGTTTTAGAGAAGGCCATGAATCACACTTGGCCGCATATCATTCCTTTTTGTTCTCCAGGAAGCTCTACAGCATGCTGGGCACAGGGTGGCACTCACCTGGCATTCACCGAGCTGTTCCAAGGGGTCCTTCAGCAAAAAAACACACAGTGTCCATCCAACACCACCTCTCTCAAGGGACGAAGAATCCTGTACATTAGTACGTATCTTTATTTAATGAAGTAATTATGTGTGCTAACGACATTCTTCGAGAAACATCCTATCTAAAGTTTCCCACCATTCTTGCACTGGTAGTTTTCCCCCTTCCCTCCTCCTTTCCCTTATTAATTTATGAAGCAGCTAATTATGATCCCTCCAGGCTAAATAACTGTGCAGTTAGAGATGCACTAGATGAGTGGGTATGGCAAGGCAATGGAGAGCATTTTTCTCTTCGCCTATTACATGTATTGTTTTAGGTAATTAACATCCACTTTGTAGTGGCAACACAGACGCCTTGCTGTCTGTACAGCTTCTTGGCTCAGATCCTTTCAAATACTCCCTGGTACACTCCTTGCAAAACCATGTGAAGTGTTATATAACTCTCTAGGTTGAAAGGCAATTGTGTGTGTACATCCAGGTTATTAAGGGGATCTATATATATATGTATAAAGCCAACATTTCAAGCCTTATCCAAGGTACTTTAAGCTTATGGTCAGTCCAAATGACTAAAAGCATTCAGAAAAACCACAGAGATTTTCCCCCTTTCTCTTTTGCTAGCCCCTCAAGTAGTTTCAAGTTTATGCCTAGGAATACTTAGGAAAATATTAATGGGAGTGCTACATGTTTCAGGTCAGTGCTTGCTCCACCATGGTGTTTCTGAGTCCTGGCAATATGCTCAGCACTGGACTTTATAAAASCTGCCCTCATCCCCGTCAATGCTCCCCTTCCCTTAGAGGCTAGACACACAGAAACTGCATTGAGCCTGGGGATTTAGCAGTGGGGACAGCTTAGTGTTCTCGTAACTGCTGCTTGTTAAACTTTGCTGCRCTGATGGGTTTGCAAGGAGGCTTTGCAGAGAGAAAGCATGGTTTAACAGAGCAGGCAGGGAAAGCCATTCAGATTASGTGGGACAAAGTCGAAAAACATGTTGAGCTGTGAAGGAGTTGAAATGTGAGACAAGTTCAGTACAAAGACGTCTTTGGACTTGCTAAAATTTTCAGCTATAGTGTTGATGGTGAATATTCACGTACAGTGCAACAAGCATTTGAGACAGAAACTATCTCTAGGCAACTCCTAAATAAAATTATTATTGGTGTCATCTGTGTGCCTCTTTTTCTCTTGCAAGCTTTTTGAAGTCCACTGTTAGAGCTGGTGCAGTTTCTAAGCTAAGCAAATACTCAGAAAAGCAATAAAAAAATAGGTTGAAGGTATAGGTCTTCTTCTATTCTGTGCTGGGATGAGCTCCTGCTTTTCACCCAGCTGCTGTTTGATATTTGCAGTGAAACCTAACAGCTCCTCCTGATTTGAACCTGCCTTGATGAGTCTGCCTGCGAGGAAGTACAGAGACCAAAACTGCGACCCAGAATGATTTCAGTTAGAGACACAAATATGGACATTTTTTTTTCTTCCCTCCCTCTACCAATCACCCATGTGTGTCAATTTGGTTGCTCATCAAGGCAAGCATCAGATAGCCTAGAGTGTGGGCTGGCACTTTGCAAGCGGGATTGCACAAGGTTACTCAGCTTCTCAGCCACTGACCTGCAGCACCCGCAGAATTCCCACTCGGAGCAGGGCCAACCAGTCC